GTGCCAACTGCCTTTAACATTTTGCTACCTTAAACGATCACCGTTTTGCGGCGAAAGCCCCGCACATGACACTGTTTGAAGCTTCTTTCGGCCCTGGAGCGCATTATAGATTCAGTGAATGTCAGGGAGATCACCAACTCCAACACTGATTGCTTTATGCGCTTAAACTATTGATGGGGCATTTGAAGGCTCTGTTGTGCGGAAGTAGAATGACCGTAATAAAGACGAATATCATTGCACAAGTTTGAAGTGGAGGAGGAGCTTCCAATTGGCTGAACCACGTTCAGATGCGTAGTAGTCCTTCGAAACTCCGGTTTGGATAAGGAGTCTTTCGAATACTTTTTTCCAAGGTCATTAGAGCCTCCGGTTCATTTCTTGAAATAGAGCATGTTTCAGGAACACATGACATTTCGCGACTGCGCTCCTGCTTCTGCGGGAGTTGTTCTTCTTTGTAATATAGTGCCATGTCTCATAGTAAAATTAATATGTCCATTCTTCATGCACCATATTCCCATATGGGTAAGTCGTTTCGCAGTCAGGGCACAGTGCTAGCACCCATCTTGGGATTACCACTTTTCAACTTTTCTGCTATAGGGTACGACACTTCATAATTTGCATGGCTCAGACAGCCTCCCTAATGGTGACAGCTTGGGCTAGTTCAGTACCAACTGCGCTTATCGGAGTGCTCCTAGCATCATTCTCTTGTGGATTTGGAGAGACTACTTATTTAGGACTATCTAGCCACTATTCCAAGTGAGTTGGTTTGCTATTACGTAGCAGTTATGTGCCTTACTTGAAGAGTATATTCTCTTTACCATTAACAGCTTGCCTATTTGAAGGGAGCCTCGGTGAGGTGACACTCATCAGCTTGCCTTTTCTAGGAATTCGATTTCAACCTGGTCATCCGGATCGGGAATGGCTGGCTTTGCTGGGACATTTTCCTATGCTGTGCTCACTGATGACAATCTGTTGGCATTGACTCCTACAAATGCCATGCTAGTGATGCTCGTAGTGCCCATATCCTTCACTTTTTCGTGGGTTTAGATTTCCATTATATTAGAAATTTTGCAAATTGCATGTAAGGGAAAACTCGTGAACTTATCTTCTCCCTCTCAGGTACTACCTCATACTCGTTCGAGCGCCGACGATACCCGCGATCAGTGCCACTAAGCCTTCAACATGGTTGGATTTCTCCACGCCTTACGAGTGCGTCAGCAAGAACATTGCATTCATTTTTTCCGTTCTCAAACTTCCCTAAGGATACAGTTTCCACTGACCGTGTGGGCGGAGTCAGGTCTACCATTGTGCCTTCTTGATTGGCGCGCTTCCTTCACTGCAGTTTCGGGAAAGAACGTTCTCTAGTGAAAGGGTCTATAGTGGGCATGACTCCGCCCATACAATTCAGTGTGGACTATACCTTTTATTTCCTGCATTTTAGTAGAGACTTAACAAGAGCGGACTCGGATTCAAGCACAACCGATAAGAGCAGCAGGGACGTCAGCAGTATTGAAGCGCAAAATCGTCCACTCTACGAGCAACTCATAGTTATCAAAGTAGGTGTATACTTCTAACTATTTTTTTACCTAGGGGTTTTGAGCAAAAATCTATTTTGCAGAGCCTTCTGAAGTACATGATTCCTTTTGGTACCGTATACTTTATGCAATATTTCATCAAACAAGGCTTGGTAAGTGAAATTTCTTATTTAGCTCACTGAGAGACACAGTTCGCTCTCACAACCCTTAGCTTAGGTCATCTCTCCCTTTCGAGCCAGATAAAATGAAGGCATCAATAGCAGCAAACATGGTCAAGAGAAAAGAACGTACTGCGAGAGCCACAGAGAGTAGCTCTTTTCCCCTCTCCATCCCCCTCCTCCTACAGCTGTGCGAATTCTTACCACTTCAGAACTGGTTACTGCGTAAAAAGAGGCCAGGTCAAGAAAATCAGCATGAAGAACTTGAGCTTTTGCAGCTGCAGTGGATTTTCACCGCAAACATATATTTCAATAACGTGTTTAATGGCACTATTATACGATTACTACTCCAAAAATTCAGGAATTTTTTCGCTAGAACTTTGCCTACAGTGCCTTGATCTCGAATATGAAATTCATTTTTGCCACCATCTACCTCATCAAAACCAACGAAAACTTGCACACGGGGGTTACACAGCCTTATCTTAACTGTAACGCCCGTTTTTGATGCTGTAGCCAAGAGGGCCACTTTGGCGTCACCTCTTTCTGCGACGAAATTGATGCCAGCGCCAGTGTTGGGCACTCTAGTCATCTGCACTCTGCTAAGACCGAGCCTGACGAGAAAAGAATCATTCCTACCAGGCTGAGCCTTATCAAAGCGATAAGTTGCTCTGGTGTCGGGAAACGAATATCATTTTCATGATCAGAGTATCAAACGACCCTATTATGCAAGTTTTCATCGTTCTGTGGAGAAAGATGGTCACATCAAATCGGCACCATTCGGCGTGAACTGGTGCCATCGACAAAAACGAATGTCATATCCGTAATCAGGAAGCCAAATAACCCCTGTACACAGGTTTTCACCGATATCGATGAGAAGGGAGGCTGAATTGGCGCCATTGGCGCCAAGTGGCGCCAGCGCTAAGAATGCTTGTCATATTCGTAATCAGCCAGAAGAAATCGAACAATGGGAGTAGTGATGATAGGACAGGACAGTTCGCTGACTAGATTAGATACTCAAACCTGAGCACCCTCTTTGGAAATCCTCTCCTTCATGTTCTGTTTTTGGATTTGTTCATTTATTTATGGACCGGTTTTGAAGCCCCTGCACCCTTTCTCCGGGTTTAGCCACAATTCATCGGCATGTGCTTATCTCCAGGTCCAATCTTATTACCTAATGAATGGATTGGCTGATAACGCCGAGCAACGGGTGCTCGGGCTTTGGCTCTGAATCTGGCCGAATTTTCGAGTTCAGGTTACAGACCTTGGCGAAAGCAGTTGGAACGACTGCAAACCGTACCGCAATTGGTTTTTCTTGGTCTGAGGGTATATTATTTCGAAACAACTGAATCACCAGCTGCGGATTCTTTTTCAATTGTCTTCCTCTTACGTCTTCGTTTTTCCTGTTACTTCTTTTTATCTATCTTCAATTCTAGATACAGACCTTAGCGGGCATACGTTACAGACAAGCAAGAGGGCGGGCCCGGAAGGCGTGACTGGAGCTCAGCGCCAGTTGTTATGCCAAATAATTCAAGCCTGCTGCTCTTTATCTTCAGAACTTGATTTAGATACTGCAGCTTGTCGTCTTTTGGATGCTCCTGGATTCCACACAAATCACCATCCATCACAGCTATGTTCGGTAAACCAGGTACTCTTCTTGATTAACTAATGAAAAGTACAGATCGAATTCGAAAAGTCAGTTAGCTAATTATTAAACCTTTAGAAATTTGAAATTATGGTCTTTACTTTTATGAATGTCTTGTTGCTCGTATGGGCGCAGCCGGCCTGCCATGTTGTTTTTTTTTTCCATATGATGCAATCTTCCTTCTCGTAAAGTGTAAGCGGACTAAGCGCCGAGGCTCGCGCCGCCTCGGAGATACCACTACTCGAGCCAAAAATTGCCTTCAGACTGTACCTCTTTTTAGGTGTTCTACCAATCGGGTATTCCTTTCTCGTCTATCCATTAACATCGTTTAAGGCTGATGTTCCTGTGATGTCATCCTAACTTTGCTGTTATCCAGGTACCTAACTTTTTTGCTTTTGTTGATAACTAGACAAATTATTTTTTGTTTCCAGACTGCCGAATGGCATACGGTATCTTTCACTGCCATTATTCTACGCTTTTATCTTCACTTCGTTTTTTATCATTCTGTTCATGTTGTCTTCTGTTAGGTTTGGTTGGGCGGATGCACTATGTAATAGTTTCTTCCATATCCACAGGTTAAGTAAGAGATAGTATTGTAGTTGTATTACTTTGATCGGAGGTGTGTGCTCAGAGACAGCTGTCTCTCTCGTTACTAGGTGCGTGCTAAAAGAGCTGAATCGCCGGACGACTCACGCCCAAGCTCCAACTAGACTTCACTCTCCCAGGACGGTACAGATTAGTCTGGGAAGGACTCAAGGCACGTGATTTTGTTACTTGCCGGTTATTTCCCTACCCCTATAATTCAGCTTGGATCGCGCTTCTCCCGAACGGCAAGATCAACAAAAAAATCGTTAGTCGTTATTCTGCCTACTGCAACGACAGTCACAAACTATGAAGTCTGCCTAGTCTTCCAGATGACTCGTTCATTCAGAGTCAGAACACTCCATCACCTTATGGATAAGTTTTGCGAAGTACAACCCCCCTCAAGTACTCCGTCTAATTACGACTTCGTTTCCCAGCCTTGACATTTCTTCGCGTTCGACCCGCCAGTAACTGGTTGTGGTAGTAGGATGAGGCACTCGCAGGCATACAATGCGCGATACGAGAGGAATCAACCATTAGGAGGCTCTTTATGGGCGAGTTTCACTTCCGCCGTTTCTCCTTACAGCACCAAATCGGCACGCCAGCTTCCAACAGGATTGAATGGACAATGTTTGAAGTATGTTTCAGCAGGCTTACTCACATAAAATCTTGTTCGCTGCGGATGACGGGGTGTGTCAGGGAAAGGGATGGGATTGGTACGGCGCTAGCCAGTTTTCTACCAACTACGGTGGCTTGCCAGCTTCGAATTGGTAGAAAATCACATCACAATTGGTGGAAAACATTTTGGCGCCGCGCCAAACTCGCTGTCCCCTGATCCCCAGTAAATAAGGCTGTAAGTCCACCGGATGAAAAAGGCAGTCAGGACCACTTACCCTCCTCGAATAACTCTAATCACTTTCGTAGGCACTGATACCCTACCTTTGGAAAATGCCTCTCTCCTCCAAGCTAATCCGACACGCGCATGAAGTGACACTCCATACCTTCTGTTAGATAACGTTCGATCCATGCGCGACTATGCCAAGTACATCGCCATGACATACACTAGTGCTTGATATCGATATCACCAACGTTGCCGTGACAGCCATTAACGGTATACGGGCCGATTTGGCAATTTAGTTGAGCACTTGTCTGAATGTGAACTGCACGTTACCCACGACCCCTCCTTACTCACAAGTTGTTTGTGCTTTGATTTAATTTATTAATTGTTGCGCCGAAAGAATATCCATGGAAAAGCTGTGTTTCAGGTGGATCCAACGATTCGCGAATTCGCTCTGTCTACGGTCACATTTGCCGACACAATAGGAATCTTGGCTGCAGCCGTGGCAGCGATCCCAACCCACAACTGGATTTGTGACATGAAATGGTACGGCTAGGCGGGACCATTCGATCTCCTACTGGACATGAACTTCACTGAAGCTCTAGCTGGTAATTCAGCTCACGATCAGCTGAATTGCAGTTTGTTAGTATCACGCTTCGATTTCTCTTTACATAATTTGACGACTGTTCATCGGGTTAGAAAGCGGGCTGCTATCGTTTTCAACTCGTCAAACACGATTTCTTAGAATATTTGTATGCCTGTTCCTCTTTTGGTTGTTGAATGTTTTTTATAGGTTGTTTCAATAGTTGGTAGCCTTTTCACTTTGACATCTATTGTACTGTGATATAATTGTTTTCTGACGATGTATATATTGTTTAAAGATTAAAGATGTTTCTCTGTGCTGAAATCCTCTTACAAAAGCTTTTCACTTTTTCAATTAGAACACCTGCCGTTGGAGAAAACTTTGAAGAAAAATTGCAAAATACGACCTCCCTCAAACTTCCTTATCTGAAGACGAACCCCCTTTCCATCTTACCTACCATAATCCCGAATTTTTGCCAATATCTCACCTCTTTCTCGAGAGCTTTTTTCCCGAGAAATCCTTTCACTCCTTCCTCAAAAGTTGCCGTCAAGTATGAATATACAGGGAGAGGGGCAAAAAAAGATAATTTGGCAGAGTCACATATCAGTAAAGTTTTCGCAGCCCAGACAGAAGACGTGGATACGAGTACCAGGGCGGAAGATACCCAAGATGTTCCTCGATAAGCAGGAGCAGGCTCTCGCCCATCACCTTCATGTACACCAAAATATGAAGTCATCTCCAGTCGCAGCCTGACTGGAGAAGGCCTATGGAATTCACGTCACCTCCAAACAGCTGCGAAACTTCTTGTATCGAGTCACCCATGAACAGCTACCTGGAGACCGGCACTCTTGATGGAAGATCTCCAACATCGAGCAGCTCCGACAACGTCGCTACGGTCTAGGATATCATCTTCACCGCAGTCGCCAAGGCGCGGGTTGATGGTATGGACCGGAAGTTCCTGGAATGGGAAGACCGATATTTTCTTCGTGGACCCCGGACTGGAAAGTGAACTCGAACAGCTCGAGGAGGATATTGTGCCTTTATCATTGCCTGTACCGTCGTGGAAGCTTCATGCTGCTACAGGATTGGGTGCCAGCCCATAGAGTCTCGAAAAACTCTCGCCCTACTTATAATCAAAGGGCGTTGAGTACCTGAAGAAGATGGAATATCAAGTGTGTCACCTGACCTGAACCCCTCGATTACCGGGTTCGGGCGGAGCTCAACAGGGTGGTCTACAGTGGCGGAGAAATCAACGACCTCGCTGAACTCAGGCACCGAATCACGGTCGCGTGGCAGAATCTCTCGATGGCATTCGTCGAGAAGGCTGTGGTGGAAAAGAAAAGAAAAGAAAACCGAGAAAAGTCAGCATGCAATACCTTTTTCTTAAAGGCAAATACGTCTTCGGTCCGTCCACCGACCAAATGCGACCCTCTTGCTAGGATTTCCCAGCGTACGACGTGTTTAATTTTCAATACAGACCAAGGCAAGTTCTACCCTCTAACTTCACCCTCCCACTATAAAGGTTAGCAATAACTAATGGCTATCAGTCTCCATACAAGTCTCTCAAGGAAAAGTTTGGCCTCCCAAACCCTAATATCGTCCCTGTTTGCGGAAAAGGGGAATAGTACTTGCATCTGTGGCGGCTGCGCCCAGACACTTAGGCGCGGAGACCTCTGCAAACAGGAACCCACAGCGGTGGACGGGCAAATGGAGGTGGGTCGGGCCAACGAGAGGAACATGGGTATAGCTTTTGCGCCGCGGATGCCATTGCTGCCCCTATGGACCCAACTATGTACCTACTCGCGAAAGGAGTAAGTATTGTTGGTACGATGGCAATCAGTCGGGTCGATTTCCAGAGGTGGTCTGACCGCACCTGCGCCCTTGCTACCACTGGTTGTTTTCTTCATAAATCGATCACTACGATCGCGGAGCGTGCCTTTAAAAATTCCCCTCCTCCAGGTTTGCATACTGCCATATGGGAGCGCCGTTATTTATTATTTTGGATGAAAGGATGTGAAATCTAGCAGACTGTATTGACCATGTTTCATTCCCAAAAGGTAACGGGTTCCGATATGACGCGCCTGCAAGCAGAAATCTTAAGAAACTTTCAAAAAATCGACTGGCACTTCTTGGAAATATATTAGAGATTGGTGTTAGGAGATTGCTTGTTAGAATAAACGCCGAGCGGTACAGGTCTCATCAAAAATGAGTACACTGACCAGTGGAACTTCCCTGGAGAGAGCAATCAATGAATGATAGAGGACTCCCATCCGTGAAGGCTCCGAGTGAGATACTTTTGCCGAAAAATCAGCACTTGATGCGATTACCAATTACCTGTGGAGTTTTGGACAATGAATAATCAACCAGATTTATAAAATCCTGGGCTGAAGAATGCGCTGAATGTAAGCTTGGCGCATCAGCGCAACGCTCTTTGAGTTTTTGGTCGGAGACGGGATTTAGCGATTTACCGGGGGCGATTCAAAGATGGCGAAAATATCGCGATGCCCATTTATCTTGTTTTAATGAAAAATACGTCATACTGTTTCCCACGTCACTCCATCAACAATCTCTGGGGCCGATAGGAATGACGAGTACACGGCTTAGTATTCCGGCCGCTGAAAAAGAGCGGAGAGCCGTTATAGCAAGGGTAATTTAGCACTAAAGATTAAGCAACGACAAAAGTGGCAGAAATAGAGTCGGACATTGCTCTACTGCAAACGAGCAGTCGAAAAGGTTACGTGGTTAGGATAAATCTCGTAAAGACGATGGCCTTAGAAACAAGGCGAAGACCAGTCGCGCAACAGACCCGTTTCTATCCCGCATAATGTTATCAGATGTTATCTCATTGTCGACGGCTTTTATGTCTGACTGCATGCTTCACGCACTCATCGCCCGTATTTGGTCATTTCGGGAGTCTTGTTCTGCCATTAATGTGGCTTTCCACGCTTCATTCTAAGCTACCTAACTTTTATGAGCACCAAGCCAAAAGTTCTGGGTTACGTCTGTGGGCTGAGCTCCACATCTTTCCCCACCGCCGGTAGGGCAAGTATTAGGTACAGTAAGTTGTACTACTCATCCTTTCGATTCTTTCATTACTTTTGAGGTCCTTTTGCACCCGGTTGAAGGGTCAGGTCATCAGTCAGTAGACATCTCTGAAACAAGTAATTTCGGCGACAATCCCACACTCTCGTTACGCATTCGTGATCCACTTGACAGCCGAGAATTTGTGCTGTGATGCTCACTCCGTGAAGCATTCTACTGAATTCTGGTTTATGTATACACACAAACAAGCAGGGCCCTAACCCGATTTTTTTGATTA